TTTAATGTGTTGCTTAATCCGTAAAGAAAGGTACTTTTCATCCAAATTTATGGTAACATCACACAGTTCACATCTCAAAATTCTCTTGTCGATTGTAATTTTATCGATCTTTAAAACTATTTACTAACACCTTCAGTTTTGATTTTGATATCTTTGACAATTTTTAAACTGATAAGCTTACATGTCACCGCCACATCCCTTCCTCAACATTGTAAACGATGGAATCGTTATAATTTACATCAGAGATAGGTATTTAAATAAATAAATATATATATATAGTCGTATCTCTTTACAAAAGTACATCAGTTAGTTTTATAGGTAAATAGACTTTGTAAAGTATCTTGTCTGACTAGAGTAAGCCATTTTCTGAACTACGTGCCCTTCTGCACGTATTCTCCCGTCACGTGACTGAAATATAAATGTCAATTCTACAGAATTGAAGCACCTGTTAATATTATTTATTAACTACATTTTTTTTATTTATGAAATATTTAAATATTTTAAAGGATAAAATTTAAATTTTTAAAAATAAAATCCTATATACGTAACTTGAAGGACAAGAGAAGGTGATGTAATTCAAATAGGGGCGTTAGAAATAAAAAAAAAGTCAAATTGATGATTCTCACGAAACGAATGAGAAAACGAAAGTGGACCTCTATGCTCTTATATGGGGATTACCCCAAATTCCAACGTGGAGCCTCTTAACATTATCTATTTCATCTAACCTGCAGCTTGTAGGAACTAAGCTTCTTGGGGGTGATTTTTTTTTTATTTTTTATCTTCCTCTCCCCTTCGATTTTATTGAGTATTTATTTATATCTAAAAGTCGTTAATTAACCTTTCATTTTTATACTTAAATACAATTAAAAAAATAAATATTTATTAAATAAATTAATTATGAACTTCATTACAAATTTTTTGTAAGATTTCAATTAATTCTCACGAAAAATATTTAAAAATGTGTTTATACATTTTAAATTAATTGTATTTAATTACAGTTAATTCGTGTTAAATAAGCATTTTTTTAATTAAGTAAATTGTATTTTATTTGTATAATTTGAGGTAAAAAGGGGGAGAAGCACTTTACATATATATCAAAATTTCTCTTATAAATATACTTTAAAATATGGGGAAATGTTTAATTATATTTTTAAACATTATTTTTAGGTAAAATAAATTAAAACATACAATTTTTTAAAATTAAAATAAATAGAAATTCGTCATGTTTAATCTACTTTCTAATCTCTTGTATATGTTGTAGATAAGTTATGGATAAAGATAGAAATCTATGAATTTCACAACCATTTTTCCTAGTGGAAAAGAGTGAAATATTTGAAGATATCATGTAAAATCTTTAGAAAAAAATAGTTATAAATGTCTATTTACGTAATAGAAATCAATATTCGTGTGGCACACATCCTTGACTTAATGCCACGTGGTTATAAAGCAATAACATATCTCACAAAAGAATATTATTTTATCTCGAAGGTCGAAAGAATAGCACCGAGACGAGGAAAATATTAATACCATTAACTCACACAAGATCTATTATTAAAGAACGTTGCCCCTTCTTGATAGATCTTCATTCGCTCTTTGCATTGGTTCATACGTATATGACGTATAAAATGATGTAAGAGTTGAGTAAATCTTTAAATCTGCCACGAAAACAATTATGTAAAATTAGGAAATTATGCAAGAAAATATGGCGTAAACGTTCGAAATATTTTAATTATTTTAATAAATTGATATCTTGTGAAAAATCCTACAGGAAATCAATAGATTTTTATATAGGATTTTTCGTAATACCAGTTCTACAAGGGACGTTCTGCTTTTGGTAGAAGGAAGATTTATCATTTTTCACCATTTATTCTACCACGCCCTATGCGAAAGTATGTTTTTACAATGGCAGAGGGTACTTTCCACTTAAGTAAAATATTTCGAAACATATATTATAGTGGGGTGTTAGCCTTTACTACTTATGTCATGAATATTTAGATAGGGTCATCGAATTGCTACTTAGAAATATTATTAAAAAATTTAAAATGGATTTCCCCTGAACATTAATTTATGAAAATATATGAAGTATGTACTTGAAACAGGATCTTTTTTGGTTTTGCAACGTACAGAAGCGAAATTCTTTATGCATATTTTAGGAGATTTAAATGTTAGAGTATGTAAATTAGTTTCCGCTTAAATTTGGCGTTTGAAAACTGTGTTTTTGTGAAAATGCAATGGGATATTTACAAGAAATTGAATTCGTATTAAGATGTCAATGGCAAACAATTACTGTATTATTCGTTTTAATCGTATATATTTTAATTTAAAACAATCTAAATTTAAAAAATAATAGAATTTTAAACGATTTAAAATAGTTTTTTTTGGATAAGAAGCTGAAAAATTATTCAAAATGTAATCTAAAATAGTAAAACAATAGTTTATACCTTTAGTTTTAACCTTAATGTATTGTTTTAATAATGATATTAAGAATTAAAGTTTAAATCATAAAACATTTTATATTTTTAAATGATAAAGCACAAAAATTATCATTTTTAAAGCTCATAATTCTAAACTTATGTAACGTCATAAGAGTAAGGAGAATGAGACTTTTTTTTAAAATTATGTTTATGCAAAATAATCATGATTAGCTTAACATTAATTAGATTTAAATATCATATTTATTAAATATGTTTAAATGTATTTAGCGGTAAAACCCCGATAATGTTTTTCTGATGTAATCTTTCATTACTCGCCTACATTTATATCTTCCAATGACTTAATGAAGATACTCTGAATATGTTAATTAACTGGTGTCCTTGATTAAATATCCTGAAACACAACATAATTATGTATGGATTTATATATATTACAAGTAAATATTTACAATAAAATCTTAATAAAAATAAATTTTGAAATGTGAAGTATCTTCATCATCCGAAATGATCTTAGGAATAAATTTGGTAGTTTCGCCCCTAACCACGTGAATTTCTACGTATATAAAATACTAATTATATGCAATTCGTCATCTTATATATTAATTATGTAGATTGTATCTAGCGATGGCAATCTTGAATTTTTTGTAGTAAGAAGATGATGAAGTACCTTACGTTGCAAACTCGACAAAATGTAAATTTTTATCCATAAATGGTAGTAAATTTAAATTCTATAAAAGAAAAAAGATTAAAAAGTTTATTTTAATAATGTTTTAAAGAGATATAATAAGCCTTGAAACGGAATTCCCTGTAGACTGCCTACTTTAGTACTGTTTTCATACGCCCTTATGGTAAAGGCGTGGTTCCAGATGTCTAGGTCAATGATGACTAGTCCAAAAGACAAATATTACATTTTCACAAAATATTTTAAATATTTTTAAAGAAAATTTAATTTAAAAAATTGTAAAAAAAGAAAAATATGTTTAATTTTTATTTCTTCTTTTTTTGCAAATCGAAAGATAAATAATAATAATAATAATTTTTATAATTAAATGAATGATTTTTTATTTTTAAGAATGTTGTAAAGTCATTTTTAATGATTAAACTAATTTTTTTAAAAAAGATTTTATGCTAAAAATGACAAAAAAACCCATTTAAAATGGCAAAAAAATTATATTTTTCTGGACGATTTTCTAACGAAAAATATTAATTTATGAATGAAAATTAACTCGAAAAATATTTTAAAACATTTTTTAAAAGTATAAATTTAACATTTAAGGTGTTTTTTTTTGGAAAATTAAAATAAATAACCACGTGTTAGCACTTGATGAGGGTGGAGGAGGATTATCAGAAGACATTCTTCGATTATTAATGTCCTCTTTCTTCTATTTATTTAAAGGGAGTTTTTTGTGTGTTTTTAGAATAGGATGTAAAGGTCACTATACCTAATTGTGCACTTATTCGAATCAAATTTGGAGGTCAAGAATAACAAAATACAAGGACAAACTACATCTTTTCCACAATGCTCTCAACATAAATTTACATGTTAATTAATTTAAAATATATATATATATCTTTCTTAGTTTTTTAAATTTTAAAACTTTAATTATATTTATTTAAAATAAAAGATTTAAATCTAGATTTATTATAAAAATTTGTAAGAGATGACGTAGTCTCTTATGATGATGCATAAAAATCTCCATCGAGTCACGGAGTTGTCTATATGTATGTCACCAAGTTGTCATCGTTATGTTTGAATTTTGAAGAAAATTATTTAATTAATTAATCTATTAATTAATTTATTTAATTTAAATTATATTTTTAATAANTTTTATTAGATATTTTCAATAGGATATTTAATAAAAATAATTTTTAATATGTAAATATGTTTATGAATTTCTCTAGTTTCATTATTTATAAATTTTATAACTAATGCCCCCATTTACAATTGATGGATACGTGAAATAAAACCTATTTAACACTCCTTAAAAGTAAAAAAAAAAAAACGGAATAATTTTTTATTATTTTTAAGAAAATAAAATTATAGAAGGGTTTTCCCAATTGTTTGACGTCATTAGGTAATCATTTTATGCTTTTGAAGGTAAGAAATTTGGTAGTTTCGATCGTGTTTACCTTGACATGACGATGACACGGGGTCAAAATATACGTCCAAAACTTTGACCATTTTATAATTACGTAGGGTCCTTATATAAGAGTTGAATATATAAAGGATATTTTATGAAATTATGTGACAAATTTGATTATATAATACACCATAAGTTACGTATATAACGTATTGTTCTATAGATAAATTGTGTACTTTATATATATATATATATAGATGATATATACAGATACAGGTAATTATATAAAAACTTTATATAATTTTAGTTGGTTTACATGTATAGGAATGAGTATAATAGCAGAAACAACCTTTTCCTTCCGTTTGCTAAGTAACAAATGCGAGGATGGAAGTAGAGTTGAAGCGCTCGATTGTCTTGTCCAATCAAAAGAGTCAACGCAAAATCAGCGACCTTGGTCAGTAGAATGTAGCCGGAAAGTAAGCGACAGGCAACACACGTGACGACGTATATACAGCAGCTGTCCAAATCATCCCTCTCATCTTACCTCAACAGCGAGGGGGACGTGCCCTCTTGACGTCACGGCCTGTAACGTGACCGATCGTCGACCCCCATTCACCCCCACAGCTATGGAAACTTCTTAAATGCAGCGTGGGACGACAGAGAAACGATAGAACTCGCTTTACTACCTGACACTTAGAACAACTGGACATGAAATTCGTAGCTATCTTGTTATTCACATTTTACATATGCGAAGCTCAAAGGGAGGGGAGTTTAAGATTAGTTGGTGGTAGAGGTAATTGGGAAGGTAATGTTGAAGTATTTCATCTGGGACGTTGGGGTTCTGTTTGTGATGATGAATGGGACTTGAGAGAAGCTCATATTGTATGCAAGAATTTAGGATTTCGAAGAGCAGTTAGAGCCACTTACGATTCCGAATTTGGAAGAGGCCAAAGTAAGTAATATTTATTTATTATTTTAATCTAGGTAGTAAGTAGTTTCATTAAAATTCCTAACTAGTAAAGATGAACCAGTTATGACTTTCCTTATGAGGTAGCATGACTGCATGTTGCTGTTTTATAGCAGGGTGATAAAAAAAGGAAATTTTTAAAGACCGATTCTTTATAATCCACTATACAACAATAGTATATTAATATTTCCTCTACCTGTTTTTATATTATTGACGTTTTATTTCTCTAGTAGTATTACAGTAGTAGTAGTAGTAGCTACTAACCCGCTGACCCAAAGGAACATTCGGTAATGTTCAACAGGTAGCAGATTTAGTTCACATGTGAAAGCATCTTACAAATCGACCTGTTTAATGTTCCAACACGAATTTAAGTGGAGATGAAGAATTCTTTGATGCATCGACAACTTTCTCCCTTCGTTACTTACAATTATTTAATAATAATAATAAAAAAAAGCATTCTTTAGTGACTTAAATCTGACCCCATTTTGCTATATTGATGATGTTCGAGGGTGGATTTTTAAGATTTTCACTAAGATTAGAAAGTTTTTTTAGATACTCCAGATAGATTTTTTTTTATAGTAAAGAATGTAGGCCCTAGAATTTTATAATGGCAGGGCCTCTGGTACTGGGTGTAGCTGCACCCCTCGATGTTCCCTTATAAGACAGAGAGGCCATTTAAGGATAATTTTCCTCGACCTAATTGATAAGAGAATCATCAAAATTTGATTTTTATAATCAATTTTAATTTATATATTGTTTAAGAAAGTGAAATTAGGGGAAGAATTCTGTATACAATGAAACGTTTATGAAAGAATTTAGAGAAAGTTGTGCTTAATATTAAAAATTTGACCTCTTCCCGAGTAACCTTGTTTTGTATCATCTCATAGCTTCTACATTAGGGGGGTATCTTTCCTTTATTTTTAAACAACGACCCAAATATAAGTACCCTGAAGGGACACACGACCGACAACAACGCAAAGATCGAAAGGTGAACGACTTTACTTGCCTTGAAGCTATATTTACATATCGGTAATGTACCGTTGTTACGTAACACAGTGTTGTAAAAATTCGTTGGTGTTATGATTTATACTGAATTACAATTAGGAAAAATGATGTATTTTTATGTATTTACATACAAAAAATTTGTTCGTTTTACTATTATGAACGAGTCAAATATTTTCCTTCGGGCTACCATTTGTCAGGAAGTAGGAAACTTTTTTTTCTTCTTTTTTTTTAGCATTGAAGTGTCCTTGCTACCGAATTTAATCGCGTGTAGATTCCGAGATGAGGCTGATAAAAATATGAATTAAACTAACTTTTTTTTTATATTGTTCGGATGTACAAAATTGTACAGGAAAAATGTATTTTTTATTATAAAAATTAACACAGTTTTTCATTATTATATTGCATTATATTAGCTCTTTACTTCAGATTTTATTTATAATTAAAAAATTCGCCAAATGGGTTTAAAAATACGGCATATTTTCGCAGATTTTTTAAGAGTAAAACACTATAAAATAACAATATACAGTGCAAACCTTTTAACAACGGCCATATTTTATGTTTCCATCATTGGCCGTTGTTCAGAGGTTTGACTGTGTTAAGAAGCATCACCTGTGGATGCAGAATGCTGAAGATTCTTTGAACTGGTGTAAATGTTTTATACAACAGACCACGTGTTAAAATCCACTTTCTTCACTTGTTTATCCACGTTGTTTTTAAATAAGGATTCGAGGAAGGAGTGATACTCTCTGAGGTAAGTAGCATTGTATATAATTATAAAGAGTGAAATCAGAACAATACATAGAAAAAAAAAGGGAAATGTAACGCTAACCAATATTAATTATATAGACTATTAAACGAAGCAATGCCGATAACTACAGTATAATAAAAGTGAAGAATATCGTGACTTACTTTATTACTCTACTAATGCATTTAGCATCGCAAGGGGATGAGCGGTTAGTAGGACAAGAAGTTACAGATAATAGACTATTGTTAAAATCAAAATGTGTGTTATTTAAGCTTTAATTTCTCTTAAATTAAAAATGTACTTTGCACCATTTAAGTCAAGCAAATTAAAGAATTATGTTGTTCTATATTCAGTTTTTAATACGTGACGATAACGTGAAAGTCTTTAAAATTCCAATTTTTTTTAGAAGGAAATCTTATATATTTTTTCCATGTTTTAGAGGTAAAATATATCTATATTTTTGAATACTTACACAACATTATCACACTCAGTTGACGCCCTTCACGTTCGATGTTATGGCTTGTGTGGGGACAGTGAGGAAAAAGAATCTATAAAAATTGTTGGCTGTATGCCCGCGACCTCCAAATATTTATTATAAAGACCTAACAAAAGTTGGCTTCCTTGCTAAACTACAAAAATAAATTCGGAAAATGTTTGTTTTAATTACAGAAAGTTATCATTTTTCTCCTTTTCCTTTTCTCTTTAAATTGTAAAAGAGGATGCTGTGATGATTTACATAAAGAATTTTTGATAATTTAAGAGTTTATAAATCGATAAAATTTAAAAATTTAAGGTTATTTTTTATTAAAAAGTGCTTTATTTATTTATAAATTTAAAAAGTTTGATTTAAAGTACTTTAATTCACTCAAACTTTTTAAATTTTCACTGTAAAAGTGTCTTAATCTGCACATTTAACAATTATTTAATTGAAATTTTCACTTAAATTACTTCAAAGTTTTGAAAAATTCTTCATTAAATTTAAGTGAAATTTAAAAAAAATAAATAAATTGAAAAAATAACAGCGAAAATCAAGTGAGAAATCATTAATAAAAATCTATTTATTCATCATTTGTAACGTGTTAAATGACTTTCTTTACACATCAATTTAATGTAAGATTGGGTACAATAACAGATTAACCCATATGGAAAGAGGAAAGTGAAGAATGAGACATGAAAATCTTTATAAATGAGTTAAAGGAAAAAGTATTTTGCTTTCCTTTCATCCACTCAAAGAAGTTTTTTTTTTTCTTCTTCTTCTTCTCTTCTTTGACTTTTCATTTTGAAAATTGCCACTTTCGGTTTTCACTTATCTTATCGCTCTGTGACGTCACGAGAATGCGTGACGCGTGACCCACTTGCGTCACGTGATATTTTAGTGATGAATGGAGGAAATGAGCAACAAGTTCACGTTTAGCTCGTTAGAGGACGATGTCAACACCCAGTTAAGTGTCATGTTGCCAGACAAAGTAAAAGTCGATGTTATCTTTTTTTTTTTTCTTTTTATTTCAAATTTGAATTTGTTATCGACATAGTTTTATATAAAGAATAACATTTTTTTTTTATAAATAAATTATTATAGAATACGAAAACGTAAAATTTTTCTTGCGGAAATTTTTAATAGAATATTCGTTGTAAAATAACAGTAGAAATTCAGGAAGTTGTGTTCATGAAAGGGGTTTTTTTTAAATTTATTCTTTAAATTAGTGAATAGGATCGTTTATATTTGATTCTGAAGAAATTTTAAGCGTATATTTTAACAGTTTTTCTTTCTTTTTCATTATATTAATGAGGCATTCAGTTCATTGCCTCAGTAAAGTAATTGCAGTACTTGGTCATTAAATTAAATAATTTTTTTTTGGTCGATTTATCCATTTAACCCACACTTCGAGCCAAATTTAGCCCACGATTTGATACATTTCAATTAATTTATTCTCTTTTCTGTACTAATTTATTGGGTTTTTTTAAGGAGATAAATTTCAATGCCAAAGCTAATTTAAGTCTTTATATTACAATATTTTGGCCAACTCGATAACTATAACCAATTTATTTATATTCATAGCCAATTTTCTGGCCTCTTTATCTAATTTTCAATCTAATTATACATATTTTACATACAATAAAAGATAAACTTCACACGTTCAGTACGCAACACATGCATTTAAATTAATAAAATTTAAACGTAAATTTTTAATATATATATATATATATATAAAATTAACCCCGATAAAATGCATTGTATATCATCCGAATCTACAAAAAATAGATCAAGTTTTACACTTGCAAAACACGGAGAAAAACCCCGTTTTAACGTACCAAGTACAGTTTTAACGTGGGGACAATTTTAACAATAATTTTTCCTTTTTTTTTTCTTTTTCAACTCCCATTTTTCTAACAAATCATTGTCTTGAAGAGAAGGCGTCACCCCGAAAAATATCAACGCCCGTCCTAAATCTATTCACCATAAATGGTCGAAACAAGCATTTTTCTCCATTTGTTTATATAGTAGTATAGACAAAAATGTCGCATTCATCGTCAAAATGACGTCCATCTGTCATCATTTAAACGTTATTTAGGTGACAAGCAATTACCTATTCTTTAGCAGAAGGTGTTTGGGGTCACGTTTTCGTATAGGAATTAGTTCAACGTGATGTCAATAGTCGGCACCACCGACTACATACCCTAAGATTCCTATCTTGAAAGTATACAAGACCATATATTTTTTGATGGAAGAGGATACAAATATTTAACCCGATTCTTCGTTAATTTAATGGATAAATCGTGAAATATTTCCTTGTTAAACGTCTAATATTTAGAAAAAATGATCGTTTCGTGTTAAACTCGTGATCTTTTATAAAAAAAATCACGCGAAAAACTGGATTGAAAGAGCTAATTTGTGTATCGGTGTGTTCCCTTTATCTATAAATTTAAGCATTAATTTGGATACGAAAATCATTTTTCAATGTTCAGACTGTGGAAAAGACTTAATCATTTTGTCAAGGATCAAGAGTTAGAAGTTAACCAATTATCATTCGCTTTAGTATTCTCTAACTATATATATTTTTCTATAGATTTCTCTAATTAATTAAAGAGAAAAATTAATTAGAAAAATCTAATTAATCTTAGACAAAATTGAAGATAAATTTTATTATTTATGCATTATTTTCATTGTTATCACGAAATGTTGATTCCAATACAAGGTCTTTTCTACTATCCTTTAATGTGTAGAAAATACATTAAAACTTGAATTAATATCTTCTTGTGACTATAAAAAGAAGAATATAGAAATGAATTCGTGTGAAAAAAATATTATAGAATCGGATTACCATTTATGAAAAGAAAGAAAGAAAAAACATTGGAGATAAGTTTCAAGATCGACACGCATTCGAGTGTAAAGTATTCACGCGTGATTCACGCCTCCTTTCTATTTTCTATCCCCCTTTATAATTTTCTATTATTTAAATTGTTATTGTTATTGCGAAAATAAAGAAAAATACAGATGATAGATACAAAAACCTATTTTGTTTAAACCCTCTGTCCTACTTTTATAAGAGAGATTTCAAAGTTTGTCTCTACAAAAATTCATTTTTCATTCGACGCCCTCGTCTCTCTGACTCTTTTTACAATTTTCTATCCAATTTTCAGTACAATAGTTGCCCTTGGTATTTTAAATACACTCGATTCTTCTTTAAAAAAAAAAAAAAAAACTATTTCAAATGATTAACGGAAATGACGTAACAACGTCTGCATCCAATAAACATACAACCTTGAAAGAAAAAACGGTCTTTTTTTGAAATCTCGCAAGGTCATTGGTTGATTCAAAATTTAAAATGTGTTATAGCGGAATTTTCAATGCCGTGGTTTTCTATGGAAGGCATTCAAGGACGTATTTAAAGACAAGGAAACCACACACTACTAAAGTAGTTTTTTTATTGTTTTTTTTTTTAGTTATTTGTGTCGTGATTTGGTTGTATAAACGCGACGAGTACCGTTATGTACCTCGTTATATGCAGAGATCGTAAGAGATGTAGGCCAATTCGACTTTTCTTCTATAGAAGAATCATTATAATTATCACATAAGACAGAAACAAATTGACGAAGGACACATTTAACTATAATTGTGTCTCTCCATGGTCAACTACATTGTAATTTCTTTTATAATATGCAATTATAAAGATTAAATAGTGATTTATTATATATAAAAAGATAATAAATTTATTGAAAATAAAATATTTTCTTTATGATCTTAACAATTGTATTGATTTTTATTATATTTTCATGCGTCACGCTGCTATTTTTCTATAGTTGATTTTGAGAGTTGTCATTGAACAATGATAGAAATAGTAACGTTTTTATTGAATTATATACAATATAACGGATATTATTATTCCAAAATAAATAAAACTATTATAAAGAAAATTCTTATATTTAATTTTTAATTTATTAAAATAGTAAAAATAATTTTATAATTCAAAAATTAAAAAAAAGGATTATAAAGTTAACCTGCAAAGTGAACTTCACTGCAATACTCTGCTGTAATGATAGATAGAGGCAAGTGAATGATTCCACATTCAAGTTATGAGATTATCGCATATTTTAATAAATAAAACATATTAAAATAATTAATTATAATTAACTAAGTACAAATAGAAGTAAGCAAAACTCAATTTAATTTTAATTTTTTCTTGTTTATTTAATAAAAATTAAATGCAAAAAGTACATATATATAGAGAGAGGGGGAGAATAAATTATTATTAAATGTTATATAATCTTTAATTTATTAATTTATTAAAAATTTTAAACAATAATTTATTTCGATTTGTTTTCCTCATTAATTAGAATTTCATACATTCAAGGCCTAATACACTTCATAAATCATCACGTTATGAGGAAGACAACGCCTATATATATATATATTTTGTCCAGATAGTGATAAACCTAAGAAGTAATTTCAGCAGGCGGAACAATCCTGGGAACTAAATTCTGCTGGTAGGACAAACCAGGGAGGTAACTCCTGCTAGTGACATAAATCTATAATTACACTATATATAAATAATATACAAACACTTATGCATGTACAGTATAGTATAGAAGTCATTTTTTTTGTGACAAGTTTTCGATAGATATTCAAAAATCAACACCGTTTTAACGATGGGTGAAGGTCACATATCTCGTCAGCGTCACGAATTAACCTCGAAACATGTAAAATTACTTGATTCTGTATACGGTTACAGAATATTTTCGTGTAGTTTTTCGTGATCTAGTGACTTTTATATATGAGATAAAACTATCAGAAGTAGTAATTTGCCTTGAAATTTTATCTCTAAGTCGACTATTACATTATACATGTGTGTTAAGTCGTGTGAATATAAATACTTTTCCCTCTTTGTTACATTAAATTTTTACATTTTAGAATGTATTTTTTAGAAGATATAACATGTTATTAAAGTAGTTTCCTTAGAGTTACTTACATTTAGAGGGTAATATCATGTATAATTTTAACATAATTTTATTTCATAGATTGTGAGATATAAATGGTATCATTCTATTTACACGTTTTTACTTTTAACAAACTATAAAATACATTTTTTAAGGTGTTTTTTTTAATATTTAAGATGTGTTTATCTTTTTTTAAATGTATCATTGTTGGGTAAAGGGACAGTGCCTATTTTATATCATTGTTTAGAGTCATAATAAGTCTAAGTTCTAACCTTCTGTAAGGTAAAACAGTATCGTAACAAGTAAAATTTGCAGTGAAAAATCATTATTTTATACGATTTTTTAGAAAATATTTTATTTAAAAATGTTTAAACTTTATTTTTCTTTTGTTAAATTAAGAGATTTTCTCAAAATTACAGCAAAATTAACCTTACTTCACCAATACCAAAGGTTAAAGAGCATTAAGTGTTTAAACATTAAATTTACTTGCAATATATATTTTAATGAATATAAAAATAAAGAAAAAAACATTATATTATTATCGACATTATCATCATCGCATTCAAGGATATAGAATATGATTAACCTTTAATCTTGAATGACCTCTACATGCAGAGAGGTCAAGTCTGATGCTTTATGTTACGAGAATGTTGGCACGCGACATTACTACTTGTGCCAAATATTTCATTACGTTTATGTCATTCATTACTAATAAAAATAATTAACAGATGATTGATTACATCATCGTTAAATGTGTATTTTTATGTATATAATTCGTAATATTTACTATATTTAAGTATTGTTATTTACCTTCATAAAGGTAACAATACTTAAATATTGTTACCTTTATGTTATTTTATTGGATTATTAAGTCTTCATTCGGAAAACGGAAATGTTGACTAAACATTTTCGTTTTCCGTTTCTTAAGTCACACTTCAAGAGTTCCGAAATCATCCTTTAAGAACACTTCTCCTCCGAAATCATCCTTTAAGAACATTCCCCCTTGCAAATCATCCTTCAAGAACACTTCTCCTCCGAAATCATCCTTTAAGAACATTCCCCCTTTCAAATCATCTTTCAAGAACACTTCTCCTCCGAAATCATCCTTTAAGAACATCCCCCTTGCAAATCATCTTTCAAGAACACTTCTCCTCCGAAATCATCCTTCAAGACATCCCCCCTTGCAAATCATCTTTCAAGAACACTTCTCCTCCGAAATCATCCTTTAAAGACATTCCCCCTTGCAAATCATCCGTCAAGAACACTTCTCCTCCGAAATCATCCTATAAGAACATCCCCCTTGCAAATCATCCGTCAAGAATACTTCTCCTCCGAAATCATCCTTTAAGAACATTCCCCCTTGCAAATCATTCTTCAAGAACACTTCTCCTCCAAAATCATCCTTCAAGAACACTTGTCCTCCGAAATCATCCTTCAAGAACATTCCCCCTTGCAAATCATCCTTCAAGAACACTCCTTCTCTCAAGAACTTTCTTAAATATCTAAATCCCGCTCATAGAGGAAACAATGTTATCTTTATTACTGTAGAGGAACTTAGTTATCTGAGAAATTTTTAGAAGAAGAACTATTCTTGAAAGATGTCTCGGTTATTACAGAAGAACAGCCCCTCTCAAAAATATTAATAAATTGAATTGACTCAGTTGTCAGACGGCTCGGCTATCTGTGCCATCATTAATTCAATTTATTAAAATTTTATCTTAATTCTAGGCTTCATATGTTTTAAACCTCATATTTTCTTATCATTAGATCTGATATGGATGGATAGTGTCTATTGTACTGGGGACGAGAGAGCTCTTCAAGAATGTCGATTCGACGGATGGGGTGTTCATGACTGCTCTATAGCAGAAGCTGCTGGTGTCGTTTGCGATAATCCAAACGTTCGTAGAGAACCAGCAATTTCTCACGATTCTAACGAATCTCCAAGTTCCAGAACACAACTTAGAGTAAGTTTTAAGAAATTTTATATAGAGATGGTGTAAATATTTAAAAAAATTGATAAACATTCCAATATTGCAGTTAATTACAGAAAAGGATATAGTCGTTAGGTTGGTGGGTGGAAGGAATCAAGTGGAAGGAAGAGTGGAAGTGAGAATTGGAAACAGAGGATGGGGATTAGTATGTGGAGATGGTTGGGGTATCATGGAAGCTTCTGTAATATGCAGGCAAATTGGATTTGGTTTCGCTAAAAGAGCCACGCAGGTAGGTTATATATTTTATATTATGTAATAGTGTTAATTTTAAGTGTTTATTATACTTTTTTCTTACATTGTTTTAGTCGTCATACTTTGGTGGTGAAGCTGAACGTATTGTCTTAAGTGGTGTTAAATGTAGCGGTTACGAGAAGAATTTAGCAGATTGTGGTCACGAAAAATTTGGTAATGTCTTCTGTCCAGGAAGAGAACAGAACATTGCTGGAGTTGTATGTGCTGCTGGTATGTTAGAAACGTAAATTAATCAAGATCCTTAAGAAAGATTTATGTTTTGTTGTTGCAAAATTTATGAAATTATAGAATATATTTTCGTTAAACGTTTATAGAACTGCCAGATTTAGAATTAGATTGGAAATCACTAGAACAAACTTCATTTCTAGAAGATAGACAATTACACGAACTAGAATGTGCTATGGAAGAAAATTGCGTGGCTCGTCCTGCTTATTTTCAAATTCAGAGGCCAGGTAAATTGAAATATTTTTATCTATTATAAAATATGTTTGTAGTTTTATTAATATTATTTTAATAAAAATTATTTTTTTAATTGTTGTAATCAAGGAGGAAGATTTACAAGGAGACGTCTATTAAGATTTACAGCTAGAACTGCCAATATAGGAAATGTAGATTTTCGTCCTTTTATTCCTAAGCATTTATGGAAATGGCATGCGTGTCATAAGTAAGAATTTATTCTTTTTATTATTAAATTTCTAATAAACATCCATATCTATAGCCTAAGTACAGTCATACCACTTGCAATTATTACAATATAGAAGTCTGTATCTCTAAATAAATTATAGTTCCTATATTTATGAATACAATAGTAGACTATGCAAATGATAACTATTAGAAATAATACATCAATAAGAAATCTATCATAAAGATTTATATTTAAGGGCATGTATAATACACAAAGGTGCATTTATGAATAGGTATACATATGCATAGTATGTAAGGCTTCTGTGTACCATACTTTTTTAGAATTGGTTAAAGGTTTGTCACTCCATGGAGAGTATGCAAATGTATATATTAAAGTATGCAAGATACACAAATACATGGTATGCAAGGCTTTATAGAAAAGAAGTATGGTATGAATGCTTTTATTTAAGAGAAATTAACTCATCTTGCTATTTATAGCTCCTTTTATTGCCCAATTATTGATACTATTTTTTAAATTAATTGAAAACATGAGAAAATAATTAAACAAAACATTCTTTGACAGGCATTTTCACAGTATGGAAGTCTTCGCACATTTTGACATCATGGATCTTCGCGGAAGGAAAGTGGCAGAAGGTCACAAGGCCAGTTTCTGTTTAGAGGATAACGAATGCAAACCAGGTTTTAATAAAAAATACGTATGTGCCAATTATGGCGATCAAGGAGTGTCTGTAGGATGTTATGACGTCTACAAATATGACATTGATTGTCAATGGGTGGATATAACAGAACTACCAGTAGGAAATTATTATTTTAAAGTAAGTTATTTTGCATTTTTTAACGGTATTTTTAAAAATAAAATCATTAAAATACACGTTTAAAATCATTACAGGTATCAGTAAACCCCGAATATAAAGTAGCAGAATTGACATTTAACAATAACGCAGCGACTTGTTCACTACATTATAATGGATTACGTGTACATGTACACAATTGTACTTTGGGAAGGCCTTAAAATGTAAGCAACTTCAGTCAGGTTGTTTTGTTTTTTTTAAATCAAATAATAGAGATTCTTGTTGGAATCATCGTTTGTTGGTTCTACCAACTAACCTATTTAAATCCAGAAAAAAAAGGTCTTTCATTTAAGAAGAAGAAGAAAAGAAAAGACTAAACTTTGTGTAGTACAAACAGTGTACAAAGTAGCAACGAAGTAGCTAATTAATATTAAAAAGAATTCTCTAATTACTAAATTAATATACTACTCAGAAATTAACTTTGTGACTATAGCAGCAAAGCAAAAGAGTCATGGCAAATATGGAAAATGATAACGATATTTCCCATGATTCGACAACAGAAAGTATTATTATTCAATTGTTACTATAGTAGCAAGCATAAAAATATCAGAAAGTGAGGAAAATTTTTCATAATCTCCCATAAAATGGAAATTATCATTACTGGAAATCATAACAGTCAGCATGAAAATATTATACAAAATATAGAACATTGAGTAATATTTAAGAAATATCATAGGAAAAGTTTTACAACAGTAGGTATAAAAAAATACAGGAAGTTTTCCATAGATTATGGAAAATATCATCACTTAAAATTTAATTTTGTTACTGTAATGGTGTGCTCGAAACTTCGTATTAAAAAAAACCCGAATACTCTCTATGATTTTCCATTAAAAATACCATGAAAAGCATCATTACTCGACATGTAAATGTTATCATAAGTAGTAAACACGAAAATGGCAGAAGTAGAGGAAAGAAGTAACGATTCGTGCTATTTAGTAACAAATTTAACAATAATAATGATTGAAAAATATAAACACAGCAGTTATTTTGATAATAACAGTAAAAAAAAAATCTATTATTTAAAATTATTTATATCATTAAACACGTGTATAAAATAACAGTAATTTTAGAACTATAACAGCATCAACATGTTAATTATACAGAAAAATTCAGTGCATTGTTGTTATATTAGTATCAATTAACAATATAATTATTCCTGTAATAATAGCATTTTATAACGTTTTTAAGGGTTTATTTCTACAAAAAAAAATGCAAAAAAATTAAATAATTAATGTATAGAAATAGTACAATTAACGATAATTGTATAGAAGAAACATAATTTTATCTACCTTATAAATCTTTTATTACTATAGTTTCAAACATTATTATATAATTATTTAACTAATTTTTCTTTAAAAAATACAAAAAGATTACAGAAAACTTTAATTTCTATAAGAATTTTCCTTGTGCCAAATCGTAAGCCATAAAAAAAGCATTAAAAATTCATTTAAAAAAATACATAAAAATGCTACTTCGTTGCTAATTTTTTAGTTAAGATATTAGAAAAGCTTCCATAGTAAATTAGCCAAAGAGGGATTTAACAATATTTTTTTCTCCTCATTTTAATTGTATTTTTTTTTATGTATCACGTCCCGTTTGAATATGTAAATATATATTTTTGCTGTATTTTTCTATGGAAAATTAAAAAAAAATTTAATAATAATTTTTTAGATGAAATTTTTGTGTTTTATTATTAAAAGAAAAATAAGAATGTGACGTTATTCCGAGAGTATTCTGTAAATATCCTTGAAAAAACCTGATTAGTAAGCATGAACGCAAAATCTTAAACATTGCGTGACTATTGTCTCTTTCTCTCTCCCTCCCTCACTTCCCTTATAATATTGCGTGTTTTATTTGTATTTTTGGCTATATTTATATAAAAATTTTATAGAAAAAGATTTTAAAACTTATTAAATTTTATATAAAATAATATAATAAATATATATATATATATTTACATTCATGATAAAATAATTAAATTTTTAAAAATAGATTTCTGTTGAACGAATGCAAATCTAGTTTCAAGCAGGTTTTTATTTATTTAAATTAAAATTATTCAACAATATTTGGTTTTATAATCAATTTTAAATAAATTAATAGCTAATAACTAAATTAAAAATAAACTATTTATGTTTTTTTTTTAATATATATTTAGAAAGATTGGTTTTTCTCTGTATTTCTAAATGGAAATTGTGTCAATTTAAAAAAATGTCAGCTAAAAATGTCAGTTAAAAATATCAATTTACAAAAATGTCAGTTAAAAATGTCAATTTACAAAAATGTCAGTTAAAAATGTCAATATAAAACGTTTTAAAATATATTGCATAAATTTATTATAGCTATAAAAATGATTTAAAAATGAATAAGTTATAATATTAAAAATTATTTATTATATCTATAAAAGTCAAGCATACCACCAACATATTATAGCTGTTAAAATTAATTGCTGCCTTAAGAAAAAAAAAGCATGTAGGCATTATGCCTGAGGGTATTCTACTGACCATTCATACCATATATAGTTCTTAACTAGTTATATATGTATATATATTAATATCATTGTCGATGGAAAACCTTTCTTTCCTCCTACCTTACTAAGTGACGTATACTATTTGCGAAGGTGCCATAAGGGTGTGGTGGTTTTCCTAAGGTCAATGTTTTCTTATTTTTAAATAAAGTTGAACGTTGTTTCACCTATGCAAATATCCTTATTTTCTCATAATTCCTATGGGTATTTCTAGTGATAGTCACACATTTCTTCATGTACAGTACATTCATACCATCGTAACCAATGTACATGAATATTTCAATACGTCTTATGGAGTACAATTTCAGCTAAAATGCATGTAAAAATGCCCATTTTGTCTATTTTTTCCATATAAGGTGTTCAATTAGCTAGTATTAACCTTTTTATGACTCCTCATACACCCAATAAGAAGTCATACGTGCTTATAAGAATGTAAGAAAGATATATCTATTTAACCTGTATGTGGATATTTCTAGCATACACCTATTATATATATATTTATAATTATAGTTACACAACTATACTGATATTTATTACAGTAATATATCTTATTTGTTAAGATATAAATTTCATTAGTGTTTTAATCTTTAAAACTTTATTATTAAACATAAAATAAAAAAAAAAATTTATACATAATTTATATTCTAATTAATTAAATTAATATATTTAAATAATAAATCATAACACAAGAATAAAAAGTGTGTTTTGAATTTATATTGGCACTCTGTTACTGCTTTATCCTCAAGGCATAATTTCATTTCCAGGAAATTGTAATTAGGAAATATATAGATATGAGTAAAATATTACCTTTATTTTAACATTAAATTTCATAATAATTAATGTAAGAAAATATAAAATCACAGAAATTTTTTGTAAAATATAACATCAGTTTAACCGTTTGTCTGTCTATCCTCAAATTTAATCAAAAACTCGATACTAAACATTTAAATCCCTTAAAATTTAAGAATTATGCTGAAATAATCTACAAATTTTCATGAAATGTAGAAGAATTTGATATAGAACCTTACCATTTTATGGTAATCTCAATTATAAATATGTATATATAACTGTTAAAAATTATAAATAAGTAAATTTCTACTAGAAAACTGTTAACGTCGTACGTATTTCTACATTTATCTTGTCTGTCGGTGTGTCTGTCTTCAAATTTAAATCAAAAACTCGAGATTAAACTCGTAATATCTTAAAAATTTTAAAGAATTGTGCCCGAATTTTAAGAGAATTTGGAAGAATTTTAGACGTAATCTTCCCATTTTATGGTATTACCATTTCTTAAAAAAAAGTATTATGAAACATTTTTATTATACTCTTCGAGGGAAATTTTTTAATATATTTCTATCTTATCCAGGCATAACGTTATATAGCATTGTTGACCTTCGAAATTAGGTTAACAGTTACATCAAGATAAGGGTGAAAGTAATATTCTCTAGACACGTTTCTACAAATAAAATTTATCTGATAGAATGTCATTTGAAAGATTTTTAAGTAATTCACTTAAATTAAGATAAATATTACTTAAAATATATATATATATAAATGTAGCTGAGGTATGATCTGATGGATGAGATTTTAATAATGTTGTTTGTGTACTCTCTTAAAGTCACGATTAAAAAAATTATTTTTTATCTCCTTAAAGGTCGTAAGGTTAATAACTCGAAATCATGCTTCTATAATTAATAAATTTCATTTAATTTAGATAAATAATATGACGAGAATGACATTTATTTTTATAATCATTCTTAATTAACTAATTTAATTAAGTAAATATGAAAAATTAAGCTTAAAAATGAATATTTTCAGTAATTAACCTATTAAGAAATGTGTTAATAAATTTGTCTGTCTGTTTGTCTGTCCACATTTTTTGTACAAAACTCGCAATTACAGTTTTTAAACGGTTGAGATTTTTTTTAAAGGTTGTGTTAAAAATAATGCTGAAATTCAACAGATTCTTCCCCCTTTTTTTACAATAATTAACATATTAAAAACACAATATCACATCCATCTTGTATTCGGTATGTTCGTCAGTTTGTCTATTCGCAATTTAAATCAAAAACTCGAAATTCAAAAGTAGAAATTCTATAATAAACCTTTCAATTTTTAGATTTTGTACAAAAATCTTCCTATTTTCATGATTAAAAGACATACAAAAAAGAAATCGTTTCTAATTACATTTAATGCAGTTCTACATTTAATCATAATTAGAAATTCACATTTTAAGGACATAAATTACACCCCCATAGATTTTAAATAAGAAAAATTAACCCAATTTCAAAACTTAAAAGGAAAATTGATAACAAATTACATTGTTACAATGCATCTCATTTTAGTCGATTTTTCCATAACCTAATTGAGTAACGAAACAGGTATTTGTTCCTTTTACAGTAAAAAAAAAGGAATGACATTAAACAAGTTTATATTTATAATATTTACAAGGGTATAATATTTACAAAGCTATAATTTCTGTCATACAAATCCCTACTTTAAGGTTAACTTCAAACGTTTGAAACCAACAATGTTATCTTTCCTTTAATTTGTATGTATTTTTAATATCAAATACTCTAAAAGGTAAATATAAAATAATATTTATTTATTTTTTCACTTCCCTATTTACATTATATAATTTGTATTTATATAGTAATTATAGTGATTTGTTGGAAGGAAATCATACTTTTTAACGTGTGGCACTATATTCTTAGAATATTGTGGCAGAAAAAGTAGCATGTATAGTAGTATATCCAACTATTCTAAGAATATAATGGCACATATTACTATATTGTTGGAATGTACAGACATATACATACTATTTCTTCTGATACTATATGCATATTTGTCACTATAGAAAGAAGATAGACACATAAATACTGCAGAAAAGTAGTATTTATATGTCACAACAATCGAAGAATATGCCAGAAAAAGTAGTATGTATATGTTCTCTGTATATTCTATATTCTATTATATAGTGGCACGTATGAAACTAATTCGCGTATGTCTGTACATTCTTAAAATCTAGCTGCATATACTACTATTTTGTAAGAACATAGAGCAAATTCATACTATTTTTTAATTATATTCCATCTTACTCCAATACTTTCTTAGTATGAAGGATGTAGTGGCATATAAAATGAGTAAAAATGAAGCTAAACTAAAAAAACATGTCATGTTGAATACATTTTAGTAATCATTATCCTCTTTATTTTTTTAAATGTTCGAAGTATTTTGACATTGGAATTTTTGACTCGCTAACCTTGAAGATAAAAATC